AGACTTTATTTTTAATAATTCGTGTTCTCCTGTTTTATTTAGTTCATATTTTGTATAATTTATTGATTTTTCTTTCGTTATTTTTCACCGTGAAAATTTAAGATAAACTGGAAACCTGTCAATTCATCGAAGATCCTGTAAACTAATTTAGATCGTCACACTATTGTCGTTGTCTGGAAAGATGGCGGATTGTTGATCGTAAAGAGATTTTATCGGAATCACGACCCTGCCAAAGGCGGCCATGTTCGCATCATGTCTCCAATGAAAGCCTGGTTATTTATATGCTTTCTTCGACTTTACCAATAACTTTTGAGACGTTCGTTGTGCATGTCAAAAGTGATTTTCCCTGTATGCTCAATACGGCAGCACATAAATAGCTTCATCTGCAAAGCTTCTTGACAGATTACTGTTATTTAGCGATATTTAAAGGCAGCAGAAGTGGGAAAATAAAAAAGAATCATGCACGATTATTATGGATTGGATATTTATGAATGTTCAGTCCTCAGTGCAAAGTAAGGGAGGAAAAAGCAAAGATAGAGACATCGACAAAGATGAAATGGTGATAGAGAGTGGGGGGAATAGCAGTAGAAGTAGAGAACAGAGTAGACTAAGAGTAAGTGAAGAGAGAAAGAGAATTACAGAAAAAGAAAAGAGAGGAAGAAGAGAAAGGAGAGAAACAGAGAAGATTGGTGAAATGAAGGTAAAAAGAGAGAAGGGATAACAGAAAGAGGGGAACATAAAGAAGAGCAGAAAATGAAAGAGAGAGAGGTGAACGATGTAGAGAAACGGGGGAAAAGCAGTAAAAGAAAAGGAGAGAATAGGAATGTGAGGGAAGAAGAGGGAGACGTAGAAGAAGGGAAGAGAGAGAAGAATATTGAAAATAAGGTAAAAAGAGAAAAAAAAGGATAAGCAGGAGAGAGAAGAACAAAGTGTAAGAAATTGAAGAAAAAAGAAAGCGGGAAAGTTGCATGAGGGAAAATGGTGGGGAGAAAAGAGAAACAGTGAAAGAGATGCGAGGGACTGATATTTGTTAACGAACGAATATCTTCGCTGATCGTAAATACCTCACTTTTCCATTCATTTTTTAAAATCTATGGAGGGGATTAAGCAGAACGGAGAGGAAATGACGAAGAATAAACAATAAAATAAAGTAAATTGAATAAAAAAAATGAGGAGGATGAAAATGGAAATGTAAGAGTGGGTAGTAAAGAAAAGATAAAAGGAAAATAGAAAAAAAGTAATCAGAAAAAAAAGAGAACGAAGGTAGAAAAAGAGAAGAAAGAAAAATAAGAAAAAAAATAAAAAAGAATAAAGAAAAAGAAAATGAAAACAATGAAAGAAGGAAAAGAAAAAGAATGGCAAAAGGGAAAAAGGTAAAGAAAAAGAAGGCAAAAGAAAAAAAGAGAAAAAGAAAAAAAGGCAAAGAAAAAGAACGGAAAATGGGAAAAAGGCAAAGAAAAAGAAGAGAAAAAGGGAAAAAATGGCAAAGAAAAAGAAGAGAAAAAGGAAAAGAAAAAAAACGGAAAAAGAAGGGGGATAGAAAAAAGGCAAAGAAAAAGAATGGATAAAAGAGCAAAAACCGCAAAGGGAAAGAAGAGACAAAGGAAAAAGATAAAGAAAAAAAGAATGGAAAAAGAAAAAAGAAAAAAAAACAAGTACATGAAAAAGGAAAAATGGCAAACAAAACGAACAGAAAATGGAAAAAACGCAAAGAAAAAGAAAAAATGCAAAGAAAAAATGGAAAAAGGAAAAGAACGCAAAAAGAAAAAAAGGCAAAGAAAAAGAAAAAAAGGCAAAGAAAAAAACAGAAAAATAGAAAAAAGACAAAGAAAAAAAACGGAAAAAGGAAAAAAAAAAGACAAAATAAAAAATAACACGGGAAAAGAATGAAGGAAAAAAGAGATAATTGGAAATGTAAAGAAAAAAATAAAGTAATGAAAATAAATAGAAAGAAAGGACTTCATTAATTTTAATATATGTAAAATACAATGTAGTTTTTATATTTTTCGGTTACAAAACCAGGATTCATAATTTCTAACGAGAGGAATTAGTCAGAGCGAGTCGACGTGAACAAGCTTCTACGTGCCGCATCCTTTAAGCGATCATGGCTCTCCATAATTTTCTATCCCTTGTGGCCCTGAGTAGTTTTTCTTCTTTTGCAAAGGCTCCCGCACTGCCACCCGCCATCTATTCACACAAATTCTTCAGATAAGTGACTTATTGTCTTCTATCATTCTTGCCCTCAATATGGTCCGTGAGTTTTAAATTTCCCCAGCCTTCCTTTCTCATTATGTCTCCAAGGAATTTCAGGTTACTATAACAATAACCTCATTACTAAGAAAACGGAGGTAAGGTTTTTAGACAACTATTTAAAATACTACTTTAGTTTCGTGGGGATATTTGGCTATTTTTACTTTGATTCATCTAAAAAGCAAATTGTTTCTTTATGACAGTTTCTTTTCAACAAGAAGTTGTAGTCTACTCAAAGGAGGCAAGATTGAATTGCCAATAGAATTGTGTGGCTTTACATGAAATCTTAGATCTTAAAATAACACGCGATAACATAGTTATATTATTATTATCATTATTATTTCAAACGTTATTTTTATTGGATACTCATATGTGCCGGAAGACATATTTTCTTTATTAAGTTTTCCCGTGTATGCAGGCAGGTAGACGAAATAAATATTGTCTAAAATAAACGGAGCATCTACTAAAATACGGGTAATACATCTGAAGTAATAAAAATATATCGAATTAAAAAAATAAAATCCATTAATTCTTTAGAAATTGCTTTGTTTACGTTTCGGAAACAAAACAGTAAATATGCGCTATCGAGAAAATCTAAACATGTAAGTGTGCTTTAAAGGGAAAATAGAACTTTGCTTTATTATGATGCTCTTCATAGCCGAGCAGTAAAAGCATGCCGAGTTAGACGCTAGTTCGTCCTGCAAAGGGGTACGCAGGTTCGTATCCTACCGGAATACGCAGGCCGGTAGACGAAATTAATATTGTTTAAAATAAACGGGCCTCTACTTAAATATGGGTATCCACTCTCATCTTTCTTTACATTTTCCTTATTTCGTTTCATTTATCTTCCTTAGTTTCATCCATTCTTCTTTTCATTTTCCTATCATTCTTTCATTTTGTCATTCTTTCATTTTTTCTTCCTTCTTTTTCTTCGATCTTTCAATTTTCTTTCCGCCTTTTTTTTTTCACCCTGTATTTCTTTTATTTCCTTCTTTACATTATTCATTTCTTTCTTTCCGTCCTTCCTTCCCCTTATTTATTATTTCTTCTTTTCTTTTCTTTCAGACATCTCTTACTTTCATTCACTTTTCTTTGATTTTCCTCTTCTAAACCTTTCACACTTCCTTCTTTTCATCCTATCTTCCTTCATTTATTCTTCCTTACACAGTTATTTCTAAGTGCTGCATGTTTGCAAGAATGTTATCTGAATCATGTTGCTTTGGGACGATATGACATGCTAGAAATAGTAATAAGCTCCGTTCTTCCACACCGTTGAATTAACAGTGGTGATAAATCTGCTATATATTTAGTAGTAGTAGTAGTAGTAGTAGTAGTAGTAATCATCGTAATAATAATAATAAATGATTATTATTCGAGGCACTTTGCCAAAGAGAACCTCAGTAATTCATGGCCAATCTGAAAGCATTGAGTTACGAAGCACTCAGAAAAGCAAGCAAGCAAGCAAAACAGAAAAGGACGCACTGCGTAAAGACTTATAGTTTTTATTTTATTAAAACGTTTGTGCATCAGCAGACTAACACTGGAATGTTTGTCTACACGAGTTTGGCTTTCAACAAAGTTTGGGCTTCACTATTATAAATAGAGAAAAAATTACGAAGACGTACCCCTAAGTTTACTATACAATTTATAACAGATCCATTTCTGTATTGACAGACCTACTGGCTGCAATGTGTATTTCCTACTGCTGCCAGAAACTGATGGCCGAACCACGATTTTAAAAAAATGCACAGAATAATGTCAAGGGCTTTCTTTTTTTGGCGCTGTCAAATCCTCCCGACTTGGAAGATTGTAATAGCACAATCTTCCTTTCAAATACCATTTGTTATGTACTAAGCTAAGCTTCGTAAATATCGACAACTCCAAGCTGTGTCTTCAGGAATCTTTTCTGGTAATACTCACATAAGCAGTGCCGGAAAATTGTTTAACGAGATGTGAAGCTGTTATATGCTAATTAATTACTAAATGATATATGACTTGAATAAACCTGGTCGAGGAAAGTTTAAGAAATGTCACGGAATGCAGAAGGTGGTAGCAATCATTAAAATAAACAAAGAAAAGTAAAAATGTAGCTGAATAATGCATGCATAGTAAATTGCGGTTTAAACTCAGATGAAAAGCAGTTCAGAGCTTGGACAAGTCTAGATCAACTCGACATCTTCTTACAAATGAGTCTCCATTTTGCACAGTTTTCGGAATAAATACTATAGCATGTTTCTAGTCAATTCAAGGACGTTGAAAAGGTTTTAAAACCGACCAAGAAGAAATTCCAAAACAATCTAAATGTTTGATCAAACTTTAGGAAATTGATCAGAACGAGAATTTTTCAGCACCTCTTCGTTACGATGGTCAGGGGTTTAAAATAATATAAGAAGTCGTCGGAATAACTAGCTGGGATTTTTATGGTGTCTCTCTGACAAAGAGAGTTACTTGCCGATCTCTTCACTTACCATTAAACAGGGTAGTAGTCGATTACTTGTTATCAGAAGAATCTCTGACCTGATTGTAATAAGAGATCCTCAGAGTACCATACTGGATCTCTTATAACATTTTTAGAAAGATCAGTGACTTCGTACTCTCTATCTCAAAATAATATGAAACAATATTATATGGTACGAGGAGATTTTGATACTGGGAACGTAAAAGAAATAAAGAAAGAAGCAGAGTTAGAAAAAAAAAAACAATTTCGAAGAGACAATGAAAGATTCAAATTGTAAGTTACCATTAAAACCTCAGAGTTCAAGGAAAGAGAGGTTTGAAAAAACAAGGAGAGAAAGTGGTGATAACGAGAAAGAGAAAAATAGAAATACGAGAAGAAAAATAACGAGGCGAGGTGGAAAAGATGAGAAAAAAAAGAAGAAAAAAAGGGAAAGAAAAGAAGAGAAATAGAAATGAAGAGAAAGATAAGTAAAAAGAAGAGAAAAGGAGCGAGTGAAAGGAATCGAAGAAAAAAGGAAGCAAGAGAAAAAAAAAGAACGGAAAAAATTACAGAAGGAGAAAAAAAAGAAAAGAAAAGAACAATAAAAGGAACCGTCATTAAAAAAGAGGAAGAGAAAAACGATGAAAAAAAGAAAGATAAAAAGGAATCCGAAGAAAAAGGAGTTAGAAACAACACGGGAAAGAGGAAAGGGAAGAGAAAATCGATAGAACAGAAAAAAAAAAAAGAGTGAGAGAAAGAATTGTACAGTATTTACATTAGTCGGACTATTGTCCTCATCTTTGTCGCCATATTTATCACAACGTTTCGGCCGTTGTACTCTCCGGCCTTCTTCAGGTGGTTGGAATTTCGAACTGAACCCTTTATTTCGATCACTGGGGTAGACTGTTCTAGTTCCACGTGCCATGTTTGATGGATGTCAGTTATCAGTTTTCTCCTGCTAATTTTCCCTCTGAAAGTTCTCCACTGCCTTAACCAGGTATTGAACTCACCTTCTTTGGGCCTGTCACTGGAACTAACCAACGCCTTTATCCACTGTGCCATGTGCCCTTGAGGAACTTCTGAGTATTATAAACCTAATGTTTTCAGCATCATTTTTTACCAGTGCTCATATTGCAATTTTGCTGTTATCATTGCATGTCTTTACCAGAGTTCATATTGCAACTTTGTTATCATTGCTTTTCTCTGACACTCCTTATTACTGGTTCCCATATTGAAAATAATATGAGAAAGATATGGTACAGTGTAACCCGGATATAAGAGAGTTGTCGGGACCGGAGACGAAGTCTCTTATATCCGGGTTTCACTGTATATAATTTTGTTTTTGTGCAGGGTTGAGAAGTTGAAAAATGCTGCTCTATACTGATCATTATGCGAATTACTATTCGGCGATTACAATTTGAACAAGTATTATTAATGCAAGTATTATTTGAAGGCGTTACTACTACAGAGAAACCCGGATATAAGGGAGATTTTCTCTGGTCCCAAATTAGAGCCCGTGTTGATGTATATAAAATAGACCAAACCCAGATATAAGAGAAACCCGGATATAAGAGACTTCGTCTCCGGTCCCGACAGCTCACTTATATCCGAGTTACACTGTATCAGTATCTGCGTTTACAAAGTCTCGTCTACAACGAGCATTTCGGAAGTGATAACGAGCATTCGTTGACCTAACGAAAGTTACAACGAGTGAGCGTCTAACATCACAAAAATTGTAAAGAAGAAAACACTGTTCTTTTATGTGTCATGCCCCCCCCCCGTGGACGATCATGGCTCTCCACGGTTAACTTTCTATTGTCGTTGCACTTTGCATTCTTTTCTATTTAGTCTCATCTTATTTCATTCAATGAACGTTCAATAAGGAAAACTTTTAACATATTGACACTTCAAATTCGGCTGCTAACTCGTCCTAATCTGGACTCGAGCCAGAAGACACCAGCCGCTTCATTCTTGTTTTTCTAAGCATTTCTCCTCCTGATCTCTTTTCTCTTTGATCGACTGCCAGGGATGCAGGGTTTCATTCAGGGCAAATTTTGAAAAGGCTTCAAAGAAAATGGAGCCGAATTAGAAGATCACCGCTGCCAATCTCCAAGAAGTTTGGACTTTGCTGACCCGAGACTAAATTGAACTGATTCTGCGTTGACCTGATCATTTAATGGTCAGTGTAGCAGACAGCAACATTATTGTTTAGGTTATCTCGTGGAGAGTCCGGAGCGCCCAATTTCCTTTTCCTACACTGTACTTTAAAAGGTCAAGAAATAGCGAGTCAAGTCAGTAAATAAAAACTTATAGACCACTCAAATAATCTCAAAAGAGTCGAGATATTTTCAATCAAAGTTCGATATATGCCTTATTGGCCCCTGTCATGGTTCACTATGGGTGTAACAGCACACATATGAAATTAAGTTGAAGTCAAAAATTAACGTTTTCATGTGATTTATTTTAAACTAAATATATCTGTTATTAAATTTAAATAATCTATATTGTCTCTGAAGATCGGAGTAGTTTTTGCGAATGATGGAGTCGGAAGAAGAGTTTTTGAACATTCACTTTCAATTTATTTACTATATAGATGCCAGTTTCGTGTCAGAGGAGTCTAATCTTATTAAGTGTAATTAAAGACACCTGAATTTCTTTAATCATTTCACCCCAAGAAAGGCGATAATGCCACGAAGACACAAGAGGTTACTGGGAATGGAAGAGAATGAAAAGACTTTAGTAAGGAGAAAAGACAATAAAAGAATAATTCAGGAAAAACATGAGATTACGATTGACGTTCCATTTAAATTTTTGAAGATTGTAGTTGGCAGGCAAGCAAGGAAACGAAAGAGAATTCCACATGGAAGAAATGCAAGGGAAGAAAATATTAGAAGAGAACTGACAGTTACATCTAGCTATTTCAACAATAAAACAATAAGAGGCATTTGCTAATCTCGTAGTACGCTTAAATTCATGCGGTCGAGTTTCCCAGGAGGGGAGTTCATTAGAACAACAGCCCTGAAAATATTTGTAGAAAAAAATTATAAGGAAGCCACGTCAGAGCGTGGAAAAGTGACTTAAGTCGAGATGCCAGGTCAAGACCGATTTGCAATCTCATCTCCCATAGTAATTCGCCAAATGACTAATACTTACTGGTTGTCTAACTACCAATGCTGTATCAAACTAAGCAAATTCGAGTAAATAATTGGGACTTAAATATAGATTGCATATTATTCAAAAGCGTCAGTAAATGGTGTAAATCAAGGTAAGTCAGGTTCACAAATGCAATTAAGTCCTCTTCAATTGAGAATATTGGAACAACGCGATATTCTTACTCCCATCCTCTCATTTAGCCTTGTGGCATACAAAAACAACAATAAATATCGAAGTAGAAGCATTAGATGTAGCAGTTATAGCAAAAAGATATTGCAAATTAACAGTAGGTCCACTATTGACATTGTTCGGACTATCATTCTCATCTTTGTTGCCATATTTATCACAACGTTTTGGCCGTTGTACGCTCCGGCCTTCTTTAGGTGGTTGGAATGTCGAACTGAACCCTTTATTTCACTCGCTGGGGTAGACTGTTCTAGTTCAACGTGCCATGTCTAATGGATGTCAGTTATCAGTTATCTCCTGTTAATTCCCCTCTCCAAGTTCTCCACTGCCTTAACCAGGTATTGAACTCACACTTTTTGTGTTCTGTCACTGGATCTAACTAACGCCTTTATCCACTGTGCCATGTGTCCTCATGGTACGTGGAACAGTCTACTCCAGCGAGCAAAATAAAGAGTTTAGTTCACATTCCAACCACCTGAAGAAGTCCGGAGCGTATCACGGCCGAAACGTTGTGATAAATATGGCAACAAAGATGAGGATGGTAGTCCGAACAATGTAAATAGTATACATAATACCTCATCTCAGAAATATAGACAGATACTAACAATAGATCACAAGAAAAAAAAAAAACGAATAAAAAAATTGCTCATCAGCAGTACACAGTGGTATCTTAAACAATGAATGATAGCTTCAAATTATGATAATTAAGAAAAATGAAAAAATAAATTGAAGATCAAAAAAGGGAGGAAGGGAAAGAATTAAAATCAGAGAAACAAAGATATTTGGTTAACAAAAAAATAGTGTTATTTGTACTCACGTAAGATGTGCTCAACCCGTCTCTCGGAGCAGGAAGGGTGTCCCTGTCGTGATTAATCTGCTGGAGTAAAGGGGAGATATAATGTCAATTAATTTGATGAGTTAATAGGGATATTGGTAGCAAACGGTAACAAACATATAAAAAAAAAATCTTATTTGCCCTACGAGAAAGAGTTGTTACCATTAGGATCAACCTTGGCGGGAAAAAAACAACTAAAATATAACTGATCGGATATCAAATACGAGAACATTGTAGATCAGATAAATTTGAATACTAGAAATAGTAAAACAATTCAAATTTATGAATGAAAAATTGCCCAAATCTTCATTTGCATATTATTCTTCATTTGCATATTATTCCTAATTTTTCTAAAAGTTTCTGGGTTATTGATCTTATTAATATTTTTGTTACTGTTGCTTTAACGTTCTGTCCTTCTTCAGCTGTGCAATCTCTACGGAAATAGAGAATACTGTAAAAATTGGCACGCAAATTATCCAGTCATTTATCTATATTATAAAAGAAAGGCTGATTTTCTGTTCATCACACACTCTCTGCGCGTGAATTTGTGTTGCCCGTATGTAATATTATCTGTGTGTTCGTGTGTGTATGTTGTGCGTAAGTAATTTATATGTGCGTGTGTCAATTCATGTACACACAAGTACACGTACAATTTGACTCAGTTTGAAATAAGTTATTCTTCTCTCACATAATCTGGAAATCTCTACCGCGGCCTGAGAAATAAAGCCATTAAGTGGGTGACAAGAAAAAAAAATTAATTTTTTTAAACCCTAAAAGAAAAAAAAAAAACATAATATTTTGTAGAAATTTTCGAAATAAATAATTTGTTTTTTAAAAAAAAATATTTAAGTTTTTTTTATAATTTGTAGAATATTTTTAGGTTTGTTATTGAATTAAACATACATGCACACACGCAAACGTGTATACACACAAAATTTGAATGAAATTAAAATGGACATATGTCTGACAAGGATTAGTTTCCCTGTTTGCCAATAACCCTGGGGTAACAGGAAAAATGTATGAGCCGGTCTATTAAAGTCATTTTATGACTTTTGTATTTCAACTCAAAATATTTTTTTAATAAATATAGTATTTCAAATGGACAAACAATTTAAATTTTAAATATTATCATTTTGCCACCAGTGAAGCGAGAGGGGCCGAACCTAGCTTTGGTGAAAAACAGTCTTACCCCGAGAGATTGCAGTTTAGGCTCCTTCAAAACACCTTTTGCAGAACTTACACACTTATCCCAGTGTCCCTTCCGCTTTTCAAAACTGACTGCAAAGTCTTCTTTCGATATCACTAGCGGTTACTACATCATGTTTAATTCTCTTTAAGTTTTAATTTCGTCCATAGTCACCTTCAATGGTGACCTTAGCTTTGGGAAGAACCAAAAGTTGCAAGGAGTCAAATGTAGGAAATCTGACAGAGCTGAGTGATGCGTTGTTTTGCCAAGCCCCTCATGTGACGTCATTGTGAATGCGACGGTCACACAGTACACCATCTCACTCAGAGATGTCTCACTATCGATTGAGTCCTCCCCACATGAGGAGTGTACACGCATGCAAAGTAAGACCCTATGTGATTGGCTACCAAGTTAGATGAAGGCCACGCAATCTAGTCTCGAGATGTTCAAAATAGCTGGATGCTTTTCGGACAGACATCGTATATAAGTTGATCCACCAATTTTCTTTTTTTCAGTATTAAAAGAGGGATGATTAGTAGATACCGCCTGAAAAAAAAATGAATGTATACACCTATTTTTCCTGGGAGTGTCTACCTACCTACGCCCACCCCTAGCCAGTGTTGATCTTTGCAATGGAAAGTCCGAAGAACGGATAGACCCAAACGTTATGGTAACAAACGAAAAGAATATCATAGACTGAAAATCTCTAGGAATGATAATGAACCCTTAAATAAAAGGTTGTTGTTTGAAAATAGTAATGTCTCTTGAGTCAACTCTCTCACTGTGTACGTGCTTATGTTTATTTTGTAAAGCTACTGATAATATTTCCGATTGTGTCTGTTGGGAATCGTTTATTTCCGTTGTTGCTGCTTATTTGCCAACAAATTTCCCTAAAGTTTTATTTGCAATGCACTTTAGTTGAGTTAATCTCAGCCCGAACCACGTGGAGATCTCAATAAATACCCGGAACCTTAATCATATAAGTTTTATTGTCTCTATACCTGTTCCCCGAGTAAAATTGGCTTTAAAAGTTGCCCGACAAGCCCTCCCCACTTGGAAGATGAGCGCAAGTCAAACTTCATTTCACTTCTTTTGACTGCTATATTAAACGAAACAAAATATATTTTAAAGTTATATCCTTACACAGTGGTATATAAAAATAATGGACACTTGCGGAATTAAATTTTACTAATGTTGAAAATGGTTTTAGGCATCTATGTGTGTGTGTATATATATATATAATGAAATGGACAAAGTCCGACAATTATTTTTTAAGACATCTTTTTTATGTTCATGCGTTCTTTTTATAGATACAAATATTCAAGTAAATGCTCTGTTTATAAACAGAGCATTTACTTAAATATATCTTCCGCTTTTCAAAACTGACTGCAAAGTCTTCTTTCGATATCACTAGCGGTTACTACATCATGTTTAATTCTCTTTAAGTTTTAATTTCGTCCATTATATATATATATATATATATATATATATATATATATATATATATATATATCTCGAGTCTAGAAGAATCCTCAACAGTATTCAGAAAGCACTGGACGGCCATTTCGTCCTATTTTGGGAATCATCAACAGTGTGCATCCACTACCGAGATTCGAAGCCGCACAGTTTCGATACAACGCAAGCGTCATACCAACTATGCCAACAGGCCTCGGTGACGAAGAAGAAACTGAATAGACTCGATATAGCGCCGCTTCTCTCAAATTCCGTGGTGATACTCATCCAAATATTCATAACTTAACGGTTTGTGCACCAAGAGCAACGTCTTTTCTTCCCTATATATATATATATATATATATATATATATATATATATATATATTCATTTCACCCTAAGTAAGTGAATAAAATAAACTAAGATGCAAGGCGTTACTGAGTGTGGGAGGATGTGATAAAAAGAAAACATTACTAAGAATAGAGAACAGTAAAAGAACAGGAACTAAAACAGAAGATAACGATTGACACTGTATTTAAATTTATGAAGAACGAAGTTAACTGAAAAGCAAGAAACTGGAGAGAAGAAACTATTAGCATAGAACTTACGGTTAAATCTAGTCTTTTCAACTCTAAGAAGATGAGACCATGCCACCAATCCTGTAGTATGTTTAAATTTATAAAGTTTGCGTTCCAAAGAGAAAAGCTCATCAGAACAATTACCATAAAACTATTTATAGAAAAGTTACAGGGAAGCTATATTACGATGGTGGAAAAGTGAGTGAAGCCGAGATATCATATCAGGACAAATAACATTGCAGATTCTTCTTTGTATTTTATCAAAACTCTCTAAATACATAGCAGAAGCACCAGACCAGATGTGACAGCAATATATTTAAGATAGATTCTGTCGAGAAAAACCGTCTAGCACAACAGTGAACCAATGTTCTTAGCATCAGACTTAACAAGATGTCACTCTCCTGGAGGTTAGCATCAGCCATATTGATAGAAGGCAAAAAAAAAAAAAATGGTTCTCTTCGACATGTAAGATAGGAGAAAGTGATAGTGATAGTGAATAGAGGAATCTCTTACTGGGGAGTGTTGGCTTTTATCGTCTGCTCGAGTGTAGCCGCAGGTAATGGGTTGATCTTTTATAGCCTCACTGGTTTCTTGCTTTGGTAGTTGAACCTCTGTACCAGCGAAAATCACCTGAGAAAAGAAACAGCAAGAAAGATGAATGAGAGACGAATTGTTGGGTTCAATTGTAAAATCACTCTCATATATATATATATATATAATATAATATATATATATATAATATAATATAATATATATATATATATATATATATAATATAATATATATATATATATATATATATATATATATATATAATATATATATATATATAAATATAATATAATTTGCTAGATAATATTGCATTTTTATTATATCGATTCATTTACAATTCTTTTTATATAGCTAAGTCACCTGCAATACTTTCGTATTTGCAATATACCTAAAATAGATTTCTCTGTTAGTGACACTCAAATTAATTTCTGAGCAATGCTAATATTGTATACCTGTAGTAAATCATTTGCATTGCAGTTAAAGCAATGCTTAATCTTCAGAAGGAGGATATTTCACCGCTATTACTGTATACTACCTTGACCTTCTCGGCAACGTTTACCGTTTTAAAACGACATTGTTTCGAATTCTAGTAACAACCAAAATGCTACACACTATTTAGTTGTTAGATTGTTTATTTACAAGATTACAAAGTTTTGTGAACCAACTATAATGCAATATTTATTTACCATTTTAATGTTTAATCAGTAGAAATTACAAACATGCTTTAATTATACGCAAGGAAAGTCTTGTCCTTTTAACGCATATGGAGATATACACAGAATATATTGTCGCCCCCTTCCGACGCAGAATATTAGCTTGTAAAATCACATCTCAGCGAGTGGTGTTCATCTGGTAAAGGATGCTTCCCTTACTGATGATCTGATTTAGCAGATCAGGCTGACTTTAATTTACCGATCGAGGAATAATCCTCAAATTCCACCCACCTGGTTACTGAAATAACAGGGCCGGGATTTGACAAGCTCCAGATTCCAACTCTAATAACCCCCTGCGTAAATACTAATTAAATACAGGATTTTGTGTATCTTGCATGTACAACGTATAGCCAATCGGGATCATCATATTGATTTATTGAAGAAAATAATTGGTTAAATATTTCGTCTTAACTGTAGAGGGTTCAGGCCGATTATCATGTGAGGTTTTGGGGTTCTGGAAAATCCTGCAAACCAGTAAAAAGATTTTCCATGTAATTTTACTGAATGATCAAGAATTTTGCAAATGCTTAAGCGTTAAAAGAAGGTTCAGAAACCTTTTCTGTTGTTTTTGTTAAAATTTGATATCGAAATTTAATTAGGATGAAAACTCTTTTTCCTTCCCCTTTTCAACGAAAATTTGACCAATACTGAGAATTAAGAAAAGGGAGACTATACCGAGAATTAAGGGATATTACCTAATGTACTAGTTACGTGGGATTGTTAAAGTAATTGTCAGAAATTTGTTATCAGTTGAATGTTTCATGTATTCCAGTACACAGGATACGAGGCGGGAGCACAAAGTTCCTGACTGTACGTGTGTTGTTACTGTTCAATGGAAATGCGCGCGCAGCTAACACTCATTGTTTCTCGGCCCATTAAGTTAGTCGGCCAATAGGCTTCGTGTTAGTTTCTCTTGTTCAATTACCACGTGAGGTTTTATAACGTTGCTTTGGGGTATTGTGCCACATTTAAGCTACGCTTAGTAAATCACTATAAAGTTATTTTGTTACTGTTCTTCTATCCTAACGATGGCTATAAAATTTAATAATAGTCTTGCATCAAATTTTGCGGGAAACTTGATAAATGCGCCGCAGAAAACCCCGAAATTCTTCGGTAGGCTATCAGTCGAAAGCAGGTTTTCAGGCCGGTTGAGTGTCGGTTCAAAATGACGAATGTTAATGGCTACAAAATGGCAGAAAATGTGGAAAATTCGCCGAGCAATCATTCAGTTAAGTCACAAGATTAAAAACTCAGTTTAAGTGAGTAACAGTGCGAAATATAATTTACAAAGATGTATTCTATCACACTCACATATGCAGGATTTTTTTTTTTTAGATTGATTTGCTTTTCTATGGCTTATCAACACATTGCAGGTTATATAAAGCCAGAAAATATTTTTAGATTGTAAGGTTTTTTATGAAATAATAATTGACTGATATAGTTCATACTAATTAACCCATAGCTAAGGGGAGAAAAAGTGGATTCATACATTGTTCTGAAATAATAACTCCCTTTACCCACTCACTTTACATTCGAGTTACTGAAGAAAAAGACGGAAAGGAATTCGCGAGCTTATGTGAAATTTTCTTTGGACCAATGAAAACCTTGTCTTCACAGAAATTAGCCATTGATTCAAGAAGAAGAAAGAAAAGAAATTAGTGATCCTATGCGAAAATCCTTTTGATATAAAATGAAGAGCAAAACTAAATTAATAAGAGAAATGTGACTGAAGTCATGTGAAAGGTTTCGCTTCAATTCCTCGCAACCAGCGTTGAAGTTCTTGTCAGTGTAAAATTATTCACCATTACATTATCTTATTTTAACCAAGCATGGGGCAATTCAAAGAATTTTCTCTCAACAGTCAAATAAAGTTAAGTATTTCTTTTGAACGTATGCAATCGTATATCCCTTCGGTGAGTAACGAACTCTCTTACCTTTGTTTTAAACATTTTTGAATATTGTTTTATGTCAGATCATTTAATCTTTTTGTATGAAAATTTGCTCTTCATGACAAATTCGTTAAAACTACGGACTTTAAAAATTCCTTATTTATTTTCCTGAAACAAACGACTGACAACTTCAAGCATATAAATTCGTAAACTCCTTATCATATTTGGTTAAAATTACCCACGTGTTTTTTCATTACCATACTTCATTAATCTTCTTGGTGTGGATAAATCAACTCTTCATTTTGACCCCTAAACCCTACACCACTATAACTTTTCCTAGTGGGTATTTTCGCGTAAGTGAAATATATATATATATATATATATATATATATATATATTTTAGTGGAGGATTGGCTTGTAAAGCTTATTTTGTCACAACGTCACTTAATCTGATGATGAGTCAAAAATCTTAGCCTTTTAACGTAACCATTACACAGACAAACGTGTGTGTGTGTGTGTGTGTGTGTGTGTGTGTATGCTGAGAATTTCTTGTCCTGGACTATTCCCAAAATCAGTATTTCAGTGAAGAAACGTCAGAATACCGATTTCGGGAAGTGGGTCAGATCAAGTAATTTTCACCCACTCATCGTAACTCCCGAAAGAAAAGGGACCGTTAGCCAAATTGAGGTGTTAGAAAGATATAGAAATTAGGATGGCCATGAGACACACCTCGTCAGCTCACCTCCGAAAATCTTTTTTTTTAAATACACCCAATTCGTATAATGAATTGCTTTGACGATTACTCTGAGAGGGAACAAAAGAGAGAAATAAACGCAATTACACTACGTTTGTCAAGAATGAAAGAATATTAAAAAGAAAGAACCTTAATATTAGATTTTAAATTGATACGACATCATCCATTGTTAAATTTGGTTGTTGTTATTAACCAATTATCAGTTTGCACAACGACTTTAGTTGATTTTATTGCAAAATTAAAGGAAATATTCCTGCTTAAAACTATTAAAAATTACTTACACAATGTGTTGCCTGACCTGTGTCTTCCCAATGCCGCACAGAGTCTTCTATAATCTCCGTCTACAAAAACAAAAGAAAGAAAAAAAAAATCGTATTTTCCCCCAAACTAGAGAATCAGAGTTATCTAACTTTATCAAAATTAATCATCTGCACAGGCTTGGCGGGCGTTTTCGTCTATTGACGAAAAGCTTAACATTTGCATCCTTCATTTAATAATAAAACAAATGTAAAAATGTATTTCTTTAGAGTTGCCTTAAACCTGTTACGAATTCAAAATCTATATGTGCCAAAAGTTATAAGTCGCATAAAGGTTAATTCAATTTTTATAAAATGTATGTCATCAGAAAGACAAAATAATTGAAGTATATTTTGAAAAAGAAATTTTCATTCAATATATAAAAACGGAGTTTGGATTTGTGTTTGGAATTTTTTCATTGTTTAAAAATAAATAAAATATCAACAGAAATTGAACGTCTGCTACAACTTCGATTTAAAAATCTATAAAAATATAAATAATTACTGAAATTTAAAACTTCCTTCCTATATTATATCAAAGACTATGGAGGGGAGGGGGTAAGAAAAATTACTGGTTCACGCGATCAAGAAGACATTAAAAAAAGAAATCTTATTTGGGCATTTGGTCAGATTTTGAGAAGCGAGTAAACTAAGAACTTTTCAGCTTCTACTCGTAGATTTCTTTGTTAAAAATAAAGATATTTATTCCTAATATAAAAATCACTTCAATCACCTTCTTTATAGAATTAGTGTAAAAATATGGTTTCAGTGTTATTACATTTTATAAGTTTTAAATTACCTGGAGAATTGTAATCTATTTATTTATTTAGGTTATAACACTTTTTTGTGAAAATCGTGTCCTGTATCGGAATATCTAAAACTAGAAAATAAAGTAAAAATTCCTTTGGTAACATTTTTTTTTATTTGTCTGTATGAAAAAAAAAGGCGGATTTTTTTTAAATTGAAGAAAAAATTAAAAAATATCAAATTATTTTTAGCTATTAATTTCTCTTGAAACGTTAAATAACAGAAATAAAAGGCGGCGTTCATTTTTTTGATCCATTCTAATATTGACATTTCTTGCTAGCTATACAGCTATTCTCTTACCAGATCATTCTTCCTTGAACATGTTGCACTGTCAGACTATGAAAAAATTTTTTAATTGTTCCAGTCATTTGAAATTTTCCGTATATTTGCTCAACCGCAGTGATACAACGGAAAAAAGAAAGATGGAGTGTTGTTGTTGAAACAAATTCATTTGAAAGCATTGAAAAGTAAATGAATAAATATTATTTCAATCTAGAAGAATCTAGGTTTGAATAAACCTGTCTCAAAGAAAATAAATCTTTCAATATAACGAAGGAGATGAAGAAGTAAAAAAATTTACAATTACACAAACTTTCATCAAAATTACGAAAAGCAAAATGTCAAAGAAACGAATAATCATAGTTCTTATTGTAGAACAAGAAAAACAAAACAGTAAGAGCAATAACATTTTCATAAGAATATAACATTTAAAAAAAAAATTATTTTACCTGTCACTTCTGTCGTTTCAAGTCGCTGATATCTGAAAAGTGAAATTCACTGAGGTTTGCTCCAATTACGTCGTGTTAGTTTAAGCGTTAGAAACACATTGACAAAGCACAACCATTTGGCACATAAATGATGTAATAAAGTCGGTATGTAATCATAATAACAAATTTCCATCGAGTTTGTGACTCAGTTCAGTAATAAAATTAATGTAGATTTAATAACAATGTCTACAGCTTTAATACGAATTCACTTTAAAAAGGATAGAAAATAGAAATGGATACTGCTTAAGCGGAAGACATCGTGACAATTGATATTTGTCCTTAATACAAGTCTTTCCTTTTACACGGATTTACATTAAAAACACACGCAAAATATTTCATTCTGTTCTTGTAAAAACTGGTCTTAATAAACAGCATTTAATTCAGACAGAACTCACTATATATTTAATCTTAATAGAATTCAGTAAGGAAGTGTTTTGTTTACAATTTTAGCGAAGATAGAATTAGTTGTGCATGAACGGAGTTACATACATATGAAATAAATAATGTTCTTTATGTTAATTTAAAATCACGTATTATTGTGTAACGAGTAAAAAGAACGCATCAATCCATGGGAAACAATAAAATACACATAGAAAATTATTAGACAAGACGTTTAAGAGAAGCAGTACATATGCTCTATTTAATCGTCTAATTAGTAGACTCGGCATAACTATCAACACTATACAAGAGCTACACATTAAGATATAACTAGTATTAGGTTTGAAGCTGGAAAATACAACTAAAGTGTTCACCGGAACTAATTCCCTGGTCTGTTGTGAAATATGTGAAAGATTTAATAGATGACTTTTATAAAAGAAGCAATTCAACTGGATATAAATTGGGTGATCGCTTTACAATGTATGTATAATGTAAATCTGGACCCTTACTTTGTGTTCCTGTTTACGACATCTGATGTTCAACCTACAAATAGAGGTTTATCTCCAGTATCCTGCTTAAGATTGGGTCTCCAGTTCCTTCTAAAGTCTACTTCGTTTGTGTCAAATTTTAAAACTAAATTTGGAAAAATCACGTTTTGGTAAGACTATCAAAATTTTACGACTTAAAAGAAATCGAGAATTATATATATATATATATATATATATATATATATATATATATATATATATATATAATTAACGTAAATCATCCTGAAGACAAAAGGACAATTATTATTACTATTATTGTCTGAAAGAGCAACAGACTGAGAAAGTGATGCTCGGGTACAAATATACGAAGTCAAATATACAAATCATGGCACCCATAAATAAACAGCCTGATGCTACACAAAGCATGGCTCTCATGGCTTCTGATATTAATTTGGCAGTATCATGAGCAGGAATAGTGGAGGAGCGTCATATTCAGTGTTGTCGTTTTAAAAATGTTTGAGGCAGCCAAGGCAACTTGGGAGCCACCTCTAGATATTTGGGAAACTGGGTTAACCGAGCGGAACTTTTTTACAGCTAGACTCCACCTGAAAATTAGGCGCTGCTGTTATTAAAACCTATCGTTCACATTTGGCTGTGTTGCATGTGTCTGGTATAGCATTATCAGGCTGGTGTCATAATGGGTATACTGAATTGAATATATTTGTACCCCAGCGTCAAATAATAATAATAATAATAATAATAAATGGTTCCCTTCCGCTTAATTGGAATTCGTTCGTGTAGAAAATATTTTAGGGATGTAAAAAAAAAAAAAAAAAAAAAAAAACATAATAAAAGTAATTTGAAATATAAATTTGGGGCGTCTAACATTGGATCAATGGTTAGTCTCATACAGTGAGTTCGATCCTCACAAATTCTCAAACTTGTGGCCTTAAGCCTGACTAAACTAAATATCAATAAGAAAAGTACCCCACAGTAAAGTAAAGGTTAAATTATGTGTGTACACCATTTCATACAGCAGTGAGTTCGTTTTTGTACTTATATCTCAGATTTGTAGATTAACCAAACTTTGTAAAAGCGAATGTGTCACTGTGGAGCAATGGTTAGCAATCTTGAGTTCGATTCCTCCTGGTTTTCCCCAGCCCGTAGCTTGGACTCCTGTAATCTTTGTGGAACAATGTAAAGCCAAAAGACGAAATTCTCTTTGCTGTTTTCCATAAGTGAAAAAAATGTGATCATATGTTTTCGTCTCTCTGTAAACAGTGAGTCAAGTCCGCCTTAAAACTGATCTGAGTCATCTCAAGAAACAATGAATGCAGCGAAGAGAAAATAGATAAAGATGGTTAATGATGGTATAGCTATAGGGTTAGGAGCATGCATTATATTGAATGAAGCACGAGGTTGAATTCCACGAAAATGAGAACAGTGAGAATAAAAAATATACAATAAAAAAGAAAAACAAACATAAAGCTGAAAATTATTATGATTAGATTTCATTCATCTTAATTTCAGTTGCGTTTTATTGCAACTTCACAAATTGTCATTCTGTGGTTGTCAACAAGCAGCACGGATCAGAAATAAAGAACAAGTCTTCAAGATGCAAGTACGAGTCTCCCCCCGGAGGCAGTATATAATGGATTCACAGACAACACTTCCATATAGAATTATCAGAGAATGCAGCGTTATTTTTTTCATCCCTTGAACAATTTTCACGAGCCGTTAGGTAAAAGGATCACAGACCGAATCAATAAAATAAAGATGAACTGTTTTCTGTCCTTCAACTTCCCTTTAAAACAATATTTATCATGTTAATACTTTGTGATCACTAGCCGTCATTCACAGTCTTTGAGATGCAAGTTCCACAGTCCAACAGCCTCTTCCCACGAACTGCTACTTTGTAGAACCAACACCGAAGAGGGTGCTTCCCCGATCACTAGAATCTTAACCTACTTAAGTCTAAAGATAACCGTTATCTTCCCCACATAATCTCATAAACTGTGTCTCTTACTCTGTAACCCTCTACCTCGAGTGTCTCTTGAGCCGTATATAGGCCGAACATTGTTAAGGAGATATTATGAACTAGTGATAGTGGAAAAATGAAAAGGTTGGAACCAAGCATCTCAAGGATATAGTTTCCGATTCCTTTTGGTTGAATCGTTGGGCAATATGGACAAAGGTCATTGGAAAAGAGGGCAGAGAAGTTTCCTTATATTGTTTTTTTTCCATTTAATATTATTTTCTTGATTCCGTACTTGATTTTAATTATTTAATTGTATTCACTTTTGAATGGGCGAATATCTATTTTGGCTTGTAATTGTTTTATGTTACACCGAGTGGATTGATAGATTAATATAGATTCATCATTTGGGGTCATCTAAATATATTTATATAAGTACCTCCAGGAAAACGATAAAAACATCAACATACCGTGATGAAAGCATGTTCCAAACCTAATGAAAATATAGTTTTATTGGCAAAATCTTTGTCATTATTAAGAGGAAGGATCAAAGTATTTTTTTGCTTATTCAATCAAATGTTTTACTCCTGTTTAGAACTTTCGAAATTTTGATTAAAAATCTTGTTTTTT